AATGACAGAATCGATAAAAATATTGATAAAATCGATCGAAATATCCATAACAAAATCGATAAATATTGATAACGAAATCGATAAATACCGTTAGCAAAATCGATAACTATCGATAACAAAATCGATAAATATCAATAACATAATCGATAAATATCGATAACAAAATCGATAAATATCGATAACAAAATCGATAAATATCGATAACAAAATCGATAAACACCGTTAACAAAATCGATAAATATCGATAAAAAATTCGATAACAAAATATATAAATATCAAAAGCAAAATCGATACCAAAATCAATAAATATAGATAACGAAATCGATAAATATCGATAACAAAATCGAAAAAATTATCGCTAACAAAATGGTTAAAAATATTGATTAAAATACCGAAAACAAAATCGATAAAAATATCGATTATTATATCGTGAAGTTCCGAAAATATCGATAGGAAAATTGATAACAATATCGGTAAAAATTTCGATAACAAAATCGATAAAAATATCGATAACAAAACCGATAAAAATATGGATTATTTTATCGATAAGTCTCGAGAATCCCGAAAATCTCTAAAATCCCAAAATAGTTCCCAGATTGAGTCTCTATGGTTCTCTCTATGTCCTTTCCTCTTTAATTACCTTTATTTTAATCTTTCTTTCCCTATTTTCATCTTTACTTTTATCGGGATCCTCATCCTTCTCTTTGTCTTTACTTTTATGTTTATCATTTTCTTCATCTACATATACCCTTCACCTTTGCCCTTATATATAAAAGTAAAGTGTTTAAATTTACCTTGGTCTTCATTTTTGCCTTTATCTTTATGCATCTTTGTTTATGTTTTTATTTTTACCTTTGCCTTTATCCTCTTCTTTATCTATGTACGTAGTCACCTTTACTTTCATTCTTGTATTGGTCTTTTTCTATCCTTTTATTAGCAAATTTTTGTTAAATTAATACCATATGCATACACACAAGGAGCACTTGTTTCAGCCCCAACCATTTCCGTTGCACCATTTCCGTTGCAGAGAAAATTGTTGTTAAATTAATACCATATGCATACACACAAGAAGCACTTGTTTCAGTCCCAACCATTTCCGTTGCACCACTTCCGTTGCACCATTTCCGTTGCATCATTTCCGTGTGCAATTTCCGTTGAATTTGCCAATTTACTCCCAACCAACCAACCGCCGCTAATGAAGATTCACTTCAAAAATATTTCATATCTAACTTCGATTCTCTACAAAAAATGTCCATATACCAAATTATGTAGGACTAATAATTTCGAAGATTATTGCAATTTTAGTACAAAAATTTATTAATTAATTTATTTATTAATTTTTATTTTTTGAGCATATTGAACTTTGATGGGCTTGGGCGAGCCTAGGATATTGACCAAAAAATTCCAAATTTCACACAGATTTTTTTAAAGCATAATGAACCATATTTTTGCTATTACCAATCAAAATTCTAAAAAAGCGGATTTTCGGCCCACGCTTATGTACATAGAAACATAATGTGAGTGACAAATTTTTTTCGCCATCCATGATAAAAACCGAATAAGATAGATCTAAATTCGTTGGCCAAGCCTTTTTTGAGGTTTGCCTTCATTTTAATTTCATATAAAATGTTTGTTGTTTGAGATTGAAAATGAGAATATGTGTGTGGGTTTTAAATTTAAAAGTCATATTGTTTGCAAACGTCAAAAATGCTAAAAGTTGCTCTCAGCGGTTCTACCTTACAATATATATTTTTATCATGATGCCATCAACTAGTATACACATATTAACTCTTTTTAATATGCCTCATGCAAATTCATGGGAGATTGGGTTTATCGTGAAGATAATGTTAATAACGTTAGCGCTTTGAGTTTTTGAGAGCATATTTTGATGGCTATAGGTCGGCAAAAGTAAAACTGTAGCTGTGTTGGTGAGCGCAAGTGTTGGTGTTCCGCATGAGCAGCCCGGTAGGAAATATAAAATATTTTATATATGAATTTTTCCCTACTTGACCTTCAAATGACCACGAACTTGACGTGATGGAGGCTAACGGACCTAGGATTCGCATTCAGCATGTCGAATAGCATAGGGATATAGTATTTGGTTTAATAAGCATACACTTTTTTTTTTGAAACCTGTGTAATAGGTTGGCGCTTACACATATGGGTGTTTCCATGAAAATGTCAACCAGGACTGAAAAAATAAAAACAACTGAAAAGGGTTTTTAAGACGAATTAATAAGAGTAAAATACTGGAATTTTTATATTATAGAAGTATTTCAGCTTATTGCAATTTTAAAACTCAAAAATTTAAGAGTAAAACTGAGTGTCTCCTCGACTCAGTTTTCTCTAATGAAATGAACTATTTTCTCTTTCCTATTAACTAAATTAAGAGATTTGAAACATTACAATTACATCTTAAAATGAAATTTGCAATAACAACTAACTATAAAAATGAGAAAAAGGAGAAGCTAGAGCTCGGTTAACGGTAATTTTTTGATTTGCTTCTGATAGTATTCTAATGTCGTGTACGTTATGCAAAAACATTGTTTGTCTATGTCATTTGTATATTGGCAGTCGCAGGTAATGCAGATTACAATTCTTAAGCGAGAATTCTTCCAGTTAAAGATATACAGTAAAATTTTCTTTCCAACCGAAGTAAAACAAATTTTATTACCCTTTAAAGTTTGTCGCATACGTTATTGTAAGTACGAAAATTTCAATCAAATACATCAAAACCAATGTTAATTGCAAATTTTCCATTTAAATTATTTAGAATAGTTGTAAAACAATGAAACGGTGGCGGGAAGAGTTCTCAATAAATACATTTTATTACTTACGAGAAAAATTGTCGCGTACGTTATGTCGCGTACGTTATTGTTTTTTTTTTGAATATAAAACCACCCATCGATAATTTCTCTTAAAATATGAAAGGATTGTAAAGGTACATTATTTAGCTTAGTTTAGGAATATTTAAAGAAAAGAAAAACTCCCATGATTCGCAGACTTTCGCATATATGCGTGTTTCCATGAAAATGTAAACCGAAAATGCAAGCAAATGAATTCAAACGGCTTTATAACTTTAAATTTCGTATTCAGATGGTGGAAAAAGGTTTTGAAAACGCGAAACGGTGGAGAGATGAACTGAAAAAATTTTATTTAGTATGTGTTACTAGTAAAAAATATTGTATGGGGGAAAAATCTGTCGCGCACGTTATGTCGCGTACGTTATTATAATTTTTTTTAATAAAAACTAACCAGAGATAATTTCTATCAAAAAATGGAAGGATTGTAAAAATGGAAGGAAGTAAAGGAATTTTTAAAGAAAAGAAAAACTCATGATTCGCAGACTTTCGCATATATGTATATGTGCCTTAAAACCACTTCTTTTTTGTCGCGTACGTTATCACCTGGTTTTGAACGGATATTTTCCACACCAAAGTTTCGAGGCTGCTTATTTTTTTCTCAAACATAGTACCCTTTGGTTGCAACATAACCGTAATCTTTTTTTTCAGTAACTTCTCTTTTTGATAGATTTACGTTACTCTATAAGCGTACTAATGTCGCGTACGGCTGTATGGAAACACCCATATGTTAGTGTTTGACCGAGTTTCTCCTCCTTACGAAACTTTCCCTATCTTTATGGAAATATTAAAAACGTCTATTAAATAGCATATTTCCTGTTTTAAATGCCGTACAACACGAACGGCGTTTCATTCCATCAAAAGCATTTTCAAGCATTACAAACATTTATACATATCGTCGTTTAAAGTACAAAACCGCGTATCGTCATTCTGCAAAACCGTAACTGACATTGGCTGCCAAAAATTGGATTTGCTCACACAAGCTCTTGGCTCAATCCTTATCCATTCGTCCTGAAATATACTATCCAGAAATGCGATTGCTTTGAGAACCAATTTGAAATATGAGTGTTTTTACGCTCTAGAAAATAATTTCTACAACTTCACATACGCGGTTTTGCATTTTGCTGATACGCGGTTTTGCATTTTGTTGATACGCGGTTTTGCACTTTAAACGACGATATATATGTGACCTGGTCTACGAAAAGGGAGCTTACGTGCGAAAACTAGTTTTCTGTGAAAAAGCTGTTAAAAGTAAGCAACTCGTTTGGTCAGTTTCTCATTATCTCGTTAATTGTTCTCCGCGCCGGACGTCCAGTAAGTGTTGTTGTTGGTCCAGTAAGTGTTGTTGTTGGTCGGAATATTATTATAGTTCATCGTGTAAGTTGCTAGTGTGGAACATTTAAAAAAGTAACACTGAAGAAGTGACGTTTACTGTTTCTGTTGATTATCGTCTTCGCATTTCGCATGAAATGAAACATGAGTGTTGATGAGGAGTTCAGTGCCGTATACGGACAATATTTCCATGAAAAGGATGATGAAAACGATGATGAAAACTATGAAGAGAGCGATGATGATGAAGACGAAGTATGTGTATCTCAGGCAGAAGATGATACCGAACAAACTTTTGTTAAGATGGACCTGTATGTTGTTGATGTAAAGGAGGAGGAGCTGGTAACAAAATTTCTGTCAAAAGATTGTTGTAATAATGAATGCCATACACTGATACCACGGGAAATGATCGAGAGTACGCGGAACAATTGTTTAGAGATGTCGAAAAATGAACTTGATTTAATGATACTAAGTCACATCGAAGCTGGAATTATGAGTAACGAAAAGCTAGAAAGTGTATACGCAAAGCTTGCTTGGCGGAAGGAATATGGACAGAGACAGGATACAGAAGTTATGAGGCATAGAATTCAATTTACCTTCTACAGAGTACCTGTTTGTCGTTCGTTTTTCCTTTTTGTGTGTATAATCATGTCTTTATAGCTTATAATTCAATGTATTTTGTTCATTACCAATAAATTATATTTTGTCGTATTTTTACTCTTCTTTCTCTACATTTTTAGTACACTTCTAAGCAAGTTAGGATTTTCTGCTTTTCACCACGTGAAAAAGCATCTCATCTTCCATCCGAATCAACCAAAAAGTGAAAATTGATTTTTTGACACCTAAGCCCCCTTTCCGTAGACCAGGTCACATATATATTTCTCGCAGGCATCTTTGCATTCGAGAAACAAAACAGAACAGCCACTCGCGATGTTGATCCGTTGCTGTCTCGCCAACGACGTGTGAAGTAGAGACCTGCACGAATAAGTAAAAATATAACAAGTTAATAATCGCCGAGTATGAATAGAAACGATGCGAATACTTGAATTTATGTTTGACATCGTTGGCAAAGCATCGTTTTACTTGGTAGCAAACGGATATTTTTTCATATCATCATTTTCATATGAGACGCTTTTGTTGAGCGAAGTTAAATTTGAAAAATTTGTCACAATGACAAAACTTAAAAATTCATTAAAACGTGAAAGCATCAAAAACAAGATTTTATGGCAAAATGGAAGTGCTAAATAAAGTAAAATCGGGAGAATATTCTGCGATTGAGGCTACTGGCTCCAGTGACGTATGGAAAAACTTTAAGAAAATTATAAATTCCAGTACGTTGGAAATAGTGCCGTATGTTTTGTGTGAACGATGCCAGAAAATATTTAAGTTTGGAATAGGAAGTAGTCCTTCAAATTTAAAAAAGCATACTTGCTACAAACGATTAAGCGAAAACGAAAATTTAACTGAGACAAAGAGGAGAAAATCGTGCGTTTTTGTAAATGAAGAAATCCGAAATGAAGTGACCAGAAGTTGTGTTGAGTTTGTTGCTCGAGATCTACGATCATTTGACGCTGTAAATGGTTCTGGTTTCAAAGACATGGCACGATGTCTAATAGAAGTAGGTGTCAAGTTAGGAACAAAAAAATTTTCAATCGATATACTGCCACATTCTACTACGATAAGCCGTACACTACTGAAAGTCCACACTTCTGAACGTGAAATATTCGTCAATAACATTCGACCGTACATGGAAAAAGGTAGATTGCATTCTTTTATTTCCCCCTATAAGTATGTGCAATATTACAAAATATATTTTAGGCAGGTGTACTGGTACAATGGATTTGTGGACCGACAGCAAGAAGCAGAGGAGTTACAAATATAACGGCAGTGAGACGAAAGCCAAAAATACAGCAACAGCAAAATAAGACTTCGGCGCGGGATAGTAACCACATAGCAACATTACTTGCCAGATTTTTCCAACGGATTTTATAATTACTACTAGTATTTACCATTACAAAACGTTTTTCAATATAAAGTGGATACCACCATGATTTTTGCGCAAAATTGGCGTTTCTAATTAAAACATTAGAAAAATTGAATTCGAATTGATTTATTTAAACAAGCTTGTACTTATGTACATACATGTACCTCCATTTTTTTGATAGCCTTAAGTCATATATGTAATACTCCTATATTGGCAGTAAGAGCTAGTACCGTCCGAAAACACTACAGTACAGATATATCAATAAACACGTACGAAAGAAAAGGAACACATACGTTTATAAATAAACATGTACACAACACATATAAAAAAACGGCGCTCAAGTACACAATACATTGACAAAAACGGTACTAGACTGTCTCACTTTGATTTCGGAATGCTTACACATTGAGAAATTAGCTTACAGCCAATATAGAAGTATTACATATATGCCTTAAGTGCTTTATTTGATTAACAAAATTTTTTTGCGAATTTATGATTGAACCATATAGATACATATATATATGTATTCCATTTCTCCTTTTTAGCGCCAAGTGCCTCATTTGATTAACAAAAAAAAAAAAAAATTTCGAACTTATGATTGAAACATGTACATACATATACATATAAATATGTACTTCTATTTCGCAATTTTTCTTGCACTAAGTGCTTCATTTGATTAACAAAATAAAGCAAATTTTTTTTTCGAAATTGAATTGACATAATTGAACTAAAAGTTCTGAAGCGTATATGCTTCTACTACTCCATTTTTCTAGCATTGAGTGAATTATCTGATTAAAAAAAAAAACTTTTGAAATTGAATCTATAAAACCAAACTAAAATTGGCGATTACGCACATATGTACTTCTCTTGCCATATTTTTCTAGCTTTAAGTGATTTACTTCATTAACAAAAAAAAAATTCTTTTGAAATTGAATTTACAAAAGCAAACTAAAGTTTCGCAGTTCTGCGCATGATAAAAACACAGCAAGGTATAACCGTTCTCTCAATTTGTCGGCCATGATTTTTTTTTTGAAGTTTGCCAACATTTTAAAATCATATAAAAGTGAAAATAAAAAATTGAAATTGTTCGAAATTGTTGTTGCTTGAGATTGAAAATGAAATTGTGTGTGTGAGTTTGTGAGTAAATTTAAAAATTAAATTGTTTGGAAACGTCAAGAATTTTAAAAGTGCCTCTCAGCGGTTCTACCTTACTATATTTTTATCATGGTTCTGCGCATACATACATATATATGTATATGTATGTGGGATTGGAACGACGGACTAAAGGAACGGACCTGACAGGCATACCATTGTGGACAAATGCAACCATGCGCACCAGACAACGAAATGAACGAAGGGACCGCACTGAACACACCCCAAACTAGACTTCGACAAGATGAACGACAGGACAGAAATTCATTGTTAAACCAACCGCCTTCAAGCGTAGTTCGCATTTATATTTTAATGTGTGTGTAAAATAAACGCCAAAGACTTAAAATTAATTAAATAAACCTGTTTTACTACAAAGTGGTGTCGTGAAGTGGCATAAAATCCACTCCGTGAACGTGGAACTGTTTTGCGAAAATTTTTGTGCGTGTGCATACGTGTGTATGTATGTTTCTTGTGTGTGCGTGCGCGATAGGCTAGGCGGTGCCGAAAATTAAAACTTAATAATTTCAAACCACAAGTTGATACCTACGATCATTAAATCTAAATTTATAAACGGAAAAAACCTATGCAAGAAAATATTTCGCAAAAATTATAGCTGGAAAAGTAACGGCGATTCGAGCTAACCACGCCACACAAACCGCTATTCGCGAAGTGACGCTAACAAACGGTTATGTTCGGTTGCGTGAAAATTTTCAACTCGGCCAAACCAACGAGTACATACATAGTGCGTTCTAAAATTGTACTTTAAATAAAAACCGGTGTTATAGTAAACCCCTGCAGATAACGTGCGTGTGCGACAGGTTTATACGGAATTCGACTGTGTGTGACTGTGGGGCGATTTAAGCCATAAAAATCTCCCTTTTCGGCGCGTATATAGCAAAACTGTACCACGCCATTCGCAGACCGTTAGGTCCGTTACCCAACATACAGTTACTATATTGCGCATTGCTCCGGGTACAGCCATCAAGCTGTAGAGGCAATCGAGGGTACCGCTAAGCCCGTTAAACAGTGAAGCGCGCGTGGGAGCGAAGTGTGCGTAGCAACAAAGCGCGCGCAGCAGCGAAGTGCGCGCAACAGTAAGTGTGCGCAATAGCAAGTGCGCGCGGCATCCAAGTGCGCGCAGCAGTAAGCGTGCGCAACAGCAAGTGTGCGCGGCATCCAAGTTCGCGCAGTAGTAAGCGTGCGCAACAGCAAGTGTGCGCAGCATCAAAGTGCGCGCGGCGTCCAAGTGCGCGCAGCAACGTGTGCGCATCGGCAAAGTGGGCGCAACAGCAAGTGTGCGCAAAAACGACGTGCGCGCAGTCCAGCGACAAACGCGAACACCGAGTTGCGTTTAACGCGACAGTGAAACGGTGCCAGAGCCAGGTAGCACCGTCAACGAGGGACGGGTGCAGCAAACGCACGCATCGAAGCGGCGTACATAGCGGTGTTTAGCACGGCAGCGAAACGGTGCCAGAGCCAGGTAGCATCGTCAACGAGGGACGTTAACAAGCGAAGTACAGTACGAGTACGAGTAATTAGACAGCGGCGAGGGAGAAGAACCATACGTAGCTCAGCTAAGTGAATAAGTTTGTTGTTGTTTTGAGCAAGTAAATTTCATGTAATTTAAATACGTTCGTTAGTTCACACATTGTTCATTATACTATATCAATCTCAATTTTACATTGTAACCATTAATTTTGAAATTCTGTAGACATGGACCGCGACGAAATTTTTGCATTGACTGTAGAAGGACTGAGGGAAAAGTTGGAAGGGTTGGGGCTTGACACTAGTGGACGTAAACCGACGTTACGAGACAGACTCCTCGAACACTTCGGCCTGAACGCTAGTGATGACGACGGTAGCGATTTTAACGACGCGGCGAGCGGTCGAAGCGTTCCAGCAACCAGAGCTAATCGTCCAACTTTCACGATCCGCGATATAGAAGACTCGCTTTCGAAGTTTAGCGGTTTTGGTCAACCCACCTTCGAGCAGTGGCTGGGGGACTTCGAGGACAACGCGACGGCGGTGCAGTGGAGTGACCTACAAAGGCTAATCTACGCTAAGCAGCTATTAACGGGCGCGGCAAAACTTTTCGTAAGAAGCCAGAACGGAATTAGCAGTTGGGATTCGCTAAAATCAGCACTGCGTTCCGAGTTTGGAGTTCGCGTTTCTGCAGTCGAGGTACACCGCACCCTCCGAAATCGCCGTCAGCGACCGGGCGAAGATCTGCGCGAATATTTGTACGCGATGATGGAGATCGGCAAACCAATTGACCTGGACGATTCCAGTTTGATGGAATATTTCATCGAAGGAATCCCAGACAGCAAGATAAACAAGAGCAACTTGTATCAGGCGAGAAACATCAAGTAGCTGAAGGACCAAATCAAGATCTTCGAGAAAGTACGCGCAAATAAACCTCCGTCTTCAAACGCGAGTCAAATGCAACCTACATCTTCGACCAGAGTTCCCGCGGGTAGTGGCGCGATTAGCAAGCGTTGTTTTCACTGTGGTGATGGCTCACATCTAGCGCGGAACTGTCCACGCAAAGGCGCTGTTTGTTTCAACTGTGGCGACAGTTCACATTTAGCTCGGAACTGTCCGCGTAAGGGTGTTATCTGTTTCAAGTGTGGTAACAGAGGGCACCGCGCCAACGAATGCAAAAATGCTGGGAACGGGGCGAAGCGAGAGAGCGCCGCTAACATGATGGCGGTGAACAAAACCGGTCTGATTTTTAAAGACATATTTTTTTGGGTTAGCTAACCGAACAGTCTCGGCATTGATTGACACGGGGTCAGACCTTTCGTTAATGCGTAACGACACGTTGGTGATGCTAGGCCTCGGTGTCGAATTAAGAAAAGAGAAGCGTATATTGGTGGGCATAGGGAAGAGCGCGCTGACCACAATCGGCTGTTTTAGTTTGCCCATGTGCATCGATGGTATTGCGGTGGACATCACATTCCATGTGACGAAGGAGCGTGATCTCAGCTACCCCATGGTGATAGNTGGACATCACATTCCATGCGACGAAGGAGCGTGATCTCAGCTACTCCATGGTGATAGGAAATGACGTTCTGAAGCAAGTCCTCATCGTGAGCGAAGACGGCGCCGTGTTTAGGAGCAAGGCGACAGAGCCCAGCGGGCGCGAGGATGCACTCGAGCGCAAGGCAGTAGCCGGCAATTACGCTGGTGCAGGACGAGACGGAGCAGATCCATGCGAAGGGGCAGTGGCGCGTGAGGTTGTAGCCAGTAGGCAGGTAAAGGAGGGTCTTGGAAACTCGATCAGAGAGGATTTGGACTTCGTCTGCAAAGTTATCAATGACGCAGCTAGGAGACTCCGAGAGAGTGCTAGACAGCCAGATGCGGTCAGAGTTCGGCATAGGCATGTTGAGATGCTAGAAGGTGTCAGTGGGCACGATGTCAACGAGAGAGGCTGTGAGATCGGACGATCCTCACGGGAGCATGTGATCCCAGGCAAGGCGAGCGTAAACGAGCGAGGCGCGGAACGTGCGCAGTCCCGCGATGAAAGACCTTCGAGTCGAATCAGCGAGCTGCAGGTGGCGTTCGGAAATCTTTGTATGATGGCAGGATCGGAACAGGACGGAGAACATGAAATGGATCTCCTCCATTTGAGTGAGGAGCGAGCAGACAAGGTACGGAGTTTGGTAGCAGCCTACAAGCCAGCTAAGAACTCCGCATCCCCAGTGGAGATGAAGATCTTGTTGACAGACGATGTCCCGGTATTTGAACGGCCAAGGCGATTGTCATATGCGGATCGGCAGATAGTCGACGAACAGGTAGCTACCTGGCTAGCCGAGGGTATTATACAACCGAGCAACTCCAACTATGCATCACCGGTCGTTCTCGTGGCCAAGAAGGATGGGAGCAAACGTCTCTGTTGCGATTACAGGCGTTTAAACGAAAAGATCGTTCGCGATAATTTCCCAATGCCGATGATCGATGACGTTATCGAACAGCTGCTGGGAGCCAACGTTTTTTCCACGCTCGACCTCCTAAATGGATTCTTCCATGTTCCAGTGGAAGCAGACTCGCGGAAGTATACCTCGTTCGTAACGCACAGCGGACAGTTCGAGTTTTTGTACGTGCCATTTGGCATATCCAATTCGCCGGCAGTCTTTACGAGGTTTGTGTCCGCAGCTTTGAACGACTTGGTACGTAGCGGCACGGTCGTGGTGTACATGGATGACTTGATCATTCCCTCCAAGGATGAAGTCGAGGGCATCCAGAAGTTGGAGCTAGTATTGAGCGTTGCCGCGGCGAAAGGTTTGCGCGTTAAGTGGAACAAATGTCAGTTCCTAAGGAAGAAGGTCGAGTTCCTCGGATACATTATCACGGACAACACAATACAGCCATCCGAAGCAAAAACCAGCGCGATTAGGAATTTTCCTTTACCAAACGATAGGAAATCCTTGCACCGTTTTCTTGGACTCACGTCGTATTTTCGCAGATTCGTCGACAACTACGCTGTGATCGCGAAACCGCTATCCGACTTACTCCGGAAGGACGCGAAGTTCTCACTGCAGGATGACCAGCTAGCCGAGTTTCAGCAGCTAAAGTCAGCGCTGTCAAGCGCTGTCAAGCGCTCCAGTCTTAAAACTATACAACCCGCGAGCGGTAACGGAAGTGCATACGGATGCCAGCATGGTTGGCTACGGCGCAGTCCTGTTGCAGAAGGATGTCGACGAACAGGAGTTTCACCCAATACAGTATATGAGCCGGAAGATGAAGCCGTCCGAGGAGAAGCTGCATTCATACGAGCTCGAGGTCTTTGCAGTCGTAGAGGCGCTAAAGAAGTGGCGAGTGTACCTCATGGGAATCAAGTTCATGATCGTCACCGATTGCAATGCCTTCACGATGACGATGAAGAAGCGAGATGTTCCTCTGCGAGTATCCCGATGGGCGATGTTTCTTCAGGATTTCGACTACGAGATCGAGCACCGCAGCGGCACGAAGATGCGTCACGTCGACGCCCTTAGCCGAGTCTCATGCCTGATCTTGGAGGATTCGCTACGCCACCGTCTGAAGCAGGCCCAGCAGCAGGATGACTGGATTCGAGCTGTGCGCAAAGTGTTGGAGAAAGACAGCTTCGACGACTTTTATGTCAAGTACGACATCCTCTACAAAGATCCCATCAAGGAGCTCGTAGTTGTGCCGTCGGCTATGGAGGAAGAGATCATCCGAGTGGCGCATAAGCAAGGCCACTTCTCGGCAAAGAAGACGCAAGACGCTATAGAGAAGACGTACTTCATACCACAGCTGTACGCAAAGGTGGTCAAGATCATCAGGAGTTGCATAGAGTGCATCGTTACCGATTCCAAGGCCGGCAAGAAGGAAGGCTTCCTGAACCCCATTAATAAGGAGGACAAGCCACTGAGTACCCTCCACATTGACCATGTCGGACCGATGGAGCAGACTAGGAAAGTNGCCATAATCGGAGAACCGAAGGTCGTATGACCGACACCGACAAGCCGAGACCGAGTACACAACCGACGAGCTAGTAGCCATCAAGCGAACGCAGTACGGGTCGGGTCTAAAGCTGAAAGCCAAATACCTTGGGCCATATAAGGTCGTGAAAATTATGAGACGTGGACGCTACACGGTCGAGAAGGTCGGGGACCACGAAGGCCCGAACCGCACCATCACAGTCGCTGAGTTCATGAAAAGGTGGGACCCATCATCCGAGGCCGAATGATCGCGCAGGATGGCCGAATGTGGGATTGGAACGACGGACTAAAGGAACGGTCCTGACAGGCATACCATTGTGGACAAATGCAACCATGCGCACCAGACAACGAAATGAACGAAGGGACCGCACTGAACACACCCCAAACTAGACTTCGACAAGATGAACGACAGGACAGAAATTCATTGTTAAACCAACCGCCTTCAAGCGTAGTTCGCCCTTATATTTTAATGTGAAATGTGTGTGTAAAATAAACGCCAAAGACTTAAAATTAAATAAAACTATTTTACTACATGTACACCAATTTACCATTAAGGTACTTCATTTACTTCATTTGATTACATGAAATTCAAAGCCTTCGACAAAAATTTTAAATCCAAATAGAGCCTATAAAAATTAAATTTAAACGAATATTTCCAAAAAAAGGGAAAAAACATGTTTTCAAAGAAATGAATTTACAAAAAAATATATAAAAACTAAAATTTTGAAGTATCCACCTAGATATAAGTGACGATTCTCAACAACATTAAACTTTTAGCTTAAGTGATTCAATGTAAGTTTCTTTTTCAACAATATTAAAAATTACTAGCTTTAAGTGACTCAATACAATTTTTCCCTATCGATTTAATTGCTTTATCTTTTTTCTAAAAATACAACTTGCTGAATTTATCGAAAGTTAACTGATGTACATGTGTACCAAAATTTAAATATTCGACAATCTTTGAAATCTTTTGAAATACATTATGAAAACATTAGAGAAAAAAGCTTACTTTTAATTTGCATGGGAATTTGCAAGATAAAACCTACTCCTTTTGCATGTGAAATACTCCCAGCCTCTTTGCATGAAAATTTCAGCGGATTGTGGACTAAAAGGACATAACTCAATACAGTTTGTAAAATTTACTTATCATTTTTTTTAAACTCAGTGAACGACAGTTAACGGAAGTAATTTTTCTTATATTTTATTAAACTTGACGTGTTATGACCAAATTTGACGAAGAGTTTAAAGAAAATTATTCAGAATTTTTAAAAATTTCGAAGCGAATTTTGCAAAATCGTCCTCTTTCGACAAACGCAACAAAACTTAACGAGTATAGAGATTCACTTATAAACTCGTACAATAACATTTTATTACACGTCAAGGGTCATAGCGAATCGTGTGAGTTTAGTGAAGTACAGGTAAAGTTAACACGTTGCAAGGATCTTTTAAGCAAGTGTTTTATAAAATTGAATTCTCAGATTAAAATTCCAATAGAGCCTCTAGCATTAATTTTCAAAACAGATTTAGCTAACTCTGATAGCGAAGAAGAGTACTTCGACGCAAAATCACAAGCTTCAGTGAGTTTTGCCATTAAAAGAAGCGCTTCGCTTCCAAGCATAAAAGATTCGCTAAGTGTACTAGAGATTCCAGCAAGTGCAACTAGTTCACCTAATTTTTCAATTTATTCCAAAGTTTTGACAGAAATGGCCACAGCAGAGCAAAAGAAATCTTTTATAAGCCTTTGTGCTTCGATTAATAGAGAAAATTATAGTGGGGATCCGTTAGCGCTCGAGTCGTTTTTAGATAAGATTAGTTTGATTGAGGACTTAGCTGAAGAAAATTTGACCAGTACATTAATCGCATTTTTGAAATCCAAGTTAGAGGGCAAAGCCCGCGAAGCCATACCTACACAAATAAATTCTGTTAGTGACATAAAATCTGCTCTACGCAATAGAATCAAACCTGACAACTCGAAAGTTGTGGCAGGAAAAATAGCGGCGTTACACGTTAACAACAACAATTATTCAGACTTTGCCAAACGCGTTCAAGAATTATCCGATTCACTTGAGCGGTCGTTAATTATAGAAGGAATGACTCAAGAAAAGGCTCACGAAATGGCGATTGAGCAAACTGTTAACGTGTGTCGTCTAAACGCCAGGTCTGATTTAGTAAAATCTATTTTAGCTTCAACAAAATTTTCCGATTCTAAAGACGTAGTTGAAAAACTAATTGTAGAGCAGAATAATGAGGTGAAGGAGCGACAGGTTTTAACTTTTCGATCGCGTGGTATCAATACGTTTAGAAATTCACGTGGTGGCTATCGTGGGACTAACCCAACTCGCAATTTTACTGCTTATAGGAATAACAGGTCATTTTCTTCTAATAATAATAACTTCAATAGCTATAACAGTCAACGATATCGACCCGCTAATGAAAACCGCTATCATAATAACAACAATGGTTCACGGGTTAATTCCAACAACAACACCAATAGGAACAATAATGCACGAACAGCAAACGGTAGGAGTAGGAATGCAAAAGTCCGTGCTTTAAACGCTCTTGCCCCTCAGGAGCGAACACTGGGGGAGCAGGAGTAAACTAGTAAACAACTAGACGATTTTTCTACAGCAAAAAGCATTTACTGCTTAAACCTAAACTATTCAGATTTTATCCAATTAGAAGTTTCCGGGTCTAATAAGTTATGTACATTTTTGGTCGACACACAAGCCGACATTTCTTTAATAAAAATGTCGTTTTTCCAAAAATTTTCCAATTGATACGAATGATATTATCCGCATAATGGGCGTTACTTCTAATACTGTTGCTACTCTGGGTAAAATAACGACAAATTTGACTTTTTCGGACTTTTTTATAAAACATACGTTACATGTGGTTAACGACGACTTTAATATTCCAGCAGACGGCATATTGGGTAAAGACTTTAAAATTCAATAAATGCGTTATCAGCTACGCAAGCAATTGCATTTCCTTCTGGGTAGGTAACAAAAAAATCGCGATTCCGATTCTTCACGGAACTGAAAGCGATACCTGCGTGATTCCACCCAGATGCGAAGTTTTTCGTCATTTTAATTTAGGAAGTGCACCAGAACCACTTTTTGTGGAATCACAAGAAATCGATAGCGGTGTATACACAGCACGATGCATAATTAGTACAAACAACCCAATCGTCAAAGTCATAAGTACCACAAACGAAATAAAATACGTAAAGAACTGTAACATTCGGACTGAAAAACTCTCTAATTTTAACGTTTACTCCCTTAATAAGACAAGAAACGATGACAACCGGACAAAAGAACTGATTAACGTTTTGAAAAAACAAATTCCTAGTTACGCTGAAAGCAAATTACTTAACTTGTGCGTAGATTACGCAGACATATTTGCACTTCCCGATGACAAAATGACGTTAAATAACTTTTACGAACAAAAACTAAGATTGACAGACAATAACCTAGTTTACATANGTAAACTAGTAAACAACTAGACGATTTTTCTACAGCAAAAAGCATTTACTGCTTAAACCTAAACTATTCAGATTTTATCCAATTAGAAGTTTCCGGGTCTAATAAGTTATGTACATTTTTGGTCGACACACAAGCCGACATTTCTTTAATAAAAATGTCGTTTTTCCAAAAATTTTCCAATTGATACGAATGATATTATCCGCATAATGGGCGTTACTTCTAATACTGTTGCTACTCTGGGTAAAATAACGACAAATTTGACTTTTTCGGACTTTTTTATAAAACATACGTTACATGTGGTTAACGACGACTTTAATATTCCAGCAGACGGCATATTGGGTAAAGACTTTAAAATTCAATAAATGCGTTATCAGCTACGCAAGCAATTGCATTTCCTTCTGGGTAGGTAACAAAAAAATCGCGATTCCGATTCTTCACGGAACTGAAAGCGATACCTGCGTGATTCCACCCAGATGCGAAGTTTTTCGTCATTTTAATTTAGGAAGTGCACCAGAACCACTTTTTGTGGAATCACAAGAAATCGATAGCGGTGTATACACAGCACGATGCATAATTAGTACAAACAACCCAATCGTCAAAGTCATAAGTACCACAAACGAAATAAAATACGTAAAGAACTGTAACATTCGGACTGAAAAACTCTCTAATTTTAACGTTTACTCCCTTAATAAGACAAGAAACGATGACAACCGGACAAAAGAACTGATTAACGTTTTGAAAAAACAAATTCCTAGTTACGCTGAAAGCAAATTACTTAACTTGTGCGTAGATTACGCAGACATATTTGCACTTCCCGATGACAAAATGACGTTAAATAACTTTTACGAACAAAAACTAAGATTGACAGACAATAACCTAGTTTACATAAAGAACTACCGATTACCATATTCCCAACGAGAAGAAATAAATCGTCAAGTTAACAAGTTGTTAGAAAATGAATTAATCGAAGAAAGTTACTCGAATTATAATAGTCCTTTAATTGTTGTTCCAAAAAAAGATACTAATGGTAAAAAAGCGTACCGTATGTGCGTAGACTTCCGTGATGTTAACAAAAAATTGATTGCCGATAAGTTCCCTCTTGCTCGAGTAGACGACATTCTAGATAACCTTGGACGGGCGAAATATTTCTCAACTTTAGACCTTTTTTCAGGGTTTCATGAAATCCCTTTACATATTGATTCACGTGACGTTACCTCCTTCAGTACGGACCGAGGAGCATTCAGATGGAAAGTATTACCGTTTGGGTTAAATGTAGCACCAAATTCCTTTTCGCGTAT